AGACCTTCTGGAGATCCGCTCCCTGTGGATTCTGCTACATTAACTAGTCAACATTTGTATTATAATGTATTTAAACCTGCTGATGTGGGCTCAGCTACAACCTCCCATGGGTTTCCCATTGCAGATCACAGAACTAACCCACAGAATAACTCTGACCTTTTTCTCTCTACTGATTCAGAGCTTTTCCCTAGTGCTTTTAGCAATTCCTTATATGAGTCTAACTTATCACAATATTTCCAGGATTACAATTTCAGCCAATTCACATATGACAATCACGTGTCAAAACCGATGGTGGCGATAACCATCGCTAGGCTAGTGGTGGGTTTCCTGCTGCCTTTTATTTTCATGGTGTCTTGTTACAGTCTCATTGTCTTCCGAATTCAACAGGGTCGCTTCGCCAAGTCTCGGAAGAAAGCCTTTCGAGTGGCCATGGTGGTGGTGGCTGTCTTTCTTGTCTGCTGGGCTCCATACCACATTGTTGGAGTCCTGTTATTGTTTATTGACCAAGAAACTCCCTTTGGGGAAGCTCTGATGTCCTGGGACCATGTGTCCCTTGCTCTAGCATCTGCCAATAGTTGCTTCAATCCCTTCCTTTATGCCCTCTTGGGGAAAGATTTTAGGAAGAAAGCAAAGCAGTCCATTCAGGGCATTCTGGAGGCAGCCTTCAATGAGGAGGAGCTCACGCACTCTACCAGCTGCCCCCCAAACAAAGGGTTTTCGGAAAGAAACAGTATCAGTACAACTGTGTGAAAATATGGAGCAGCCAACCTAAGCAGATGTTCTTAGGTATTCACTCAATTCCAAAAGGATGAAGGATGTGGTGAGCAGAGGACTTCACAACCCACCAGAGAATCAATCCAGTGGTTTTCAAAGTGTGGTCACAGGCTATTGATATCAGCATCCCCTGGAAACTTGTTAGACATGCAAATTCTCAAGTACTATCCAAGTCTTGCTGAATCCGAATCTCTGGGAGGTGGGGCACAGCAAGTGCTTTATTTTAACAAGACCTCTTGTTTCTGATTAATGCCAAATTTTAGAATAATTGTGAAAAACTAGTCTATTTCTATCCCAAACTAAGCCACCTGAGATAGATGAGAATCTAGTCTGTTTTTAAATGTTTCCACCATATAATTTTTTCCTGTCCTTAGTGAAAGATGATCATTTTTTCTACAGCTTTGTTGTTGTGTTGGTATTGATGGTTTTAAATGAAAAGAAGGTGAGAAAGAAAAAAGCCTATGAAAACAGGGAGCTATGACACAGAGTTTGGAGCTAAGTACAATGCCAGATGCCTGCCACCGGAAACACCCCTGGGTACAGCATGCAGGAATTCAGGGTTTCCACTATCACAACTAAATAAGCATCTATTGTATAAAAACGGACTACTAGTACATCTAAAAACTTACTCATGAAATGTTATGTGTGCTGTGGTTTGAAGAGCTGCTTATTTATTCTGTCAGCCTACTGGTAGAGCTATCCATCTCCATTGGTTTCTTCTGCTTCTTAAATCCCTTATTCCTCCCCTGCTCCAAATCTTCCACATTTTCCAAATCTTTCACAAGATTCTAATTATTCCCTTCCTCTTGCTTCAAATCAATACTTTCCAAGAGACCCATTGCCTATGAAAAGAGAAAGAAGGTGGATGTTAGAGCAGCAACTCTTCAACTCTCTGCAAGATGACTGAGTAGCCTACCAGGCACAGTGTCACATTTTCAAAAACATGACTGCAGGCATCTTTTATGCCAAAATTTCCACATGTATCTTTTGGGATTTTAAAAATTAATCATTGTCTTTACCAAAATAATACATGTATATCATTTTATTTTATTTTGAGACAGAGTCTCCCTTTGTTGCCCAGGCTACAGTGAGTGCTGTGGCGGCAGCCTAGCTCACAGCAACCTCAGACTCCTGGGCTCAAGCAATCCTTCTGCCTCAGCCTCCCGAGTAGCTGGGACTACAGGCATGCGCCCCATGCCCTGTTAATTTTTTATTATATATTAGTTGGCCAATTATTTATTTATTTATAGTAGAGACGAGGTCTCCCTCTTCCTCAGGCTGGTTTCGAACTCCTGACCTCTAGCAATCCACCTGCCTCAGTCTCCCAGAGTGCTAGGATTACAGGTGTGAGCCACCGCGCCGGACCACATACATCATTTTAAAGGAATCCAAGGCTTGTAAAGAAATATAAGAGGGCTCCCACCCCTACTCTGATGTCCCAGAGATAACCCTTGCAACAATTTTAGATGGTTTTTCTGATATTTACCATGGTGAGTCTAAATCATGTGCTTATGCTATTTTTTGTAGACATGATAAAATGACTTCCTGTTTTAAAAGATTTTTATCTAAACATCTCCATATTTTTAAATTGCTCATTCAGCACCTCAACATTCATTAAGAACCATTATTATTATTTTTTTTTGAGACAGAGTCTCACTCTGTTGCCCAGGCTAGAGTGAGTGCCGTAGCGTCAGCCTAACTCACAGCAACTTCAAACTCCTGGGCTCAACGATCCTCCTGCCTCAGCCTCCTGAGTAGCTGGAACTATAGGCATGCGGCACCATGCCCGGCTCATTTTTTCTATATATTTTTAATTGGCCAATTAATTTCTTTCTATTTTTAGTAGAGATGGGGTCTCACACTTGCTCAGACTGGTCTCCAACTCCTGATCTTGAGCAATCCTCCTGCCTCAGCCTCCCAGAGTGCTAGGATTACAGGCGTGAGCCACCATGCCTGGCCAAGAACTATTATATTTTAATTTGTTCATGTCTACATATTCCAACCATTTTTATAGCTTTTGTTCTGTTCTTCATTCAAAATTAATTATCCAACTCCCCACCCTTCTCATTTTTCTCTGTGTATAAACTTTTATGTGTTAAACCTCTGAAATTTCACATACAACATAGCCTCATCTAAGCTGAATACAATGATTTAATCTAAAAAATAGAAAAATGAGATGCTTTAGACTTGCAACAAATTATTATTTGTTCAATGGTTGAGGTAAGAGTCTGGACTAAAAATGTGTTATAAAGTACTGTGCAGAAAAATTTTAAATCACTAGATTCTTCGAGTTGTGAGGTAATAGTATCTGATATAAGGTTTGCAGTGCTACCTTTCCAATTTAACTTGCTTATATATTTGATGTGAATAAATGCTCTTTTTTTTGCAATGGTTCCTTGCAAGGCTCAGAGATTCATTGTTTGACACTTATTAATTATTTGACATTCAGAATATATCATAATTTGTAAATATGCAGCAAATAAAGCTCATGGTAAGTGACTGCAGACTTGCTGTAACAGCAAGTAGCCAGGCCTCTCAAAACACCAACACATCCCACAAGACACTGGGTATAAGTCCTAAACTCCTAAGGTTAATGTATGGACTATTACAGTGAGTAATCTTGGCATAGTTCCAAAGAGTTAACATTCAATGAATAAATGGCATTTCTGGACTCCTTTTAAGAATTCCATTTACTTTTACTGTTTGTTTGTTTTTTTAAGAGATTGGGTCTCATTCTGTTACCCAGGCTATAGTGCAATGGTACCATCATAGCTCACTGCAGCTTTGAACTCCTGGGCTCAAAGAATCTTCCTGCATCAGACTCCTGAATAGCTGGGACTACAGGCACACGTCACCACACCTGGCTAATTTTTTTAAATTTTCTTTTGGAGATGGGGTCTTGTTCTGTCGCTCAGGCTAGAGTGCAGTAGTGTGATCATAGCTCAATGTAACCTCAAATTCCTGGGCTCAATCGATCCTCCCACCTCAGCCTCCCAAGTAGCTGGGACTAGAGGTGTGAGCCACAGTGCCTGGCTAGTCCATTTACTTTCGAAATGTATTCTGAAGAAATTCCTACCATTCCTCATTTCTGATGAAAAACTGGTGAGTACTTGTAACTATTTTGTACTATATCTTCTCCAGGAAGTCCCCGACAGGGACAGTATCCCAACTCCTCTCCAAGCTGTACTATCTTAAATCTTTACACTATCCTAAAATGCAGGCAAGATAGGCCTACTCCACACACCAATCTGCAAGATCTGCAAGGGGTGAATGACCCTCCCCACAATATTTCACTACAATTAATAGCATATGAAAAGAGGAATGGTAAAGACATGTCTTTAATTCTTCTTTGCCACCAATCTTACAATAACTGTCAGGGTCAATTAATTCAACCTACTGGTGGGAGGTGGAAGACAGGCTAAAGGCTTTCACATTTTTCCTTTCCTACCTTGGCAAAAAGAAATTTGACAACACTACCAGTAAGATAAAACTGTAAACATTCTTTTTTTTTTTATTAAGAAAGCATGCAAAAAAACAACAACAACTTGTGAGACCATACACCCCCTTCCCAGCCTGCACCAATGCAAAGCATTATGGGTGGTATGAAAGACTCACCAAACAAGAAACATGAGGAAAGGGGGTTGAGGAGAGAAAGGCTGGGATGGGTGGATCGTTACCAAATAATCGCTCCTTTTGTCCCTCTCCTCCACTTTCTCCCTTATTTCCTCATATGGGCAGTGAGCTCCTGCAATTTTGCACACATCACCCAATACAGCTACAATGACTATACTTCATGTCCAGCAATGCTGGACCAACAAGGAAAAGTAGTATTCTTTCCATTTCATGAAGGGGAGGGGAAACTGAGGCCCAAAGGGAGTCAGGTTTGTCCTGTGCCATATAGCATGGCTGAGCTTGGTGGAGGGGAGCTGGAATCTCAGGAGGCCTGACGGCCAATCTCCAGTCCTAGCCAACTTCAGTTACTCTGGCTGCCCCCGGGAATTCTTCATGAGACTAGTTTCCAGAAGACACAGACGAACAGGGGCATTTGCGTTTATGACTCAGTTTACCTTTGCAAATCCTGTATGAGTCTGAGTAGGGAAGAGGTTTAGAAAAGAGGGGTGATAATCCATAAAGGGGGAACTTGGTAAGAACTGATGGGAAGTCACGTGTAGGACACACCTTTAATGGAAGGAATAAGGAAGAAATGCCTAAAGTAGGGACACTGGGCAAAGGCATTTTGCCCCCCTCTAAGAGAAATTCTCCTTTCCCCAATGGGAAATATTATGTCACACATCAATCCCACTAAGTGCCCTCCCACATCACAGGAGATTCAAGCCACTCGCACCCCCATTTCTTGTTTACAAAGGCTTCAAAGAAATAAAGTGCTCTTTAGTTAACTGCCCTATCTTGACCCTTTACTTCAGCCTCACTGGACTTCTTCAACAACCTCTCATATATAACCCCCTTCCATAAAAAGGAGAGGGGTAGATGAAGGGAAAAAGTAGGAGAGCAGAAAGCCAAATCTCTTGCAAATCATGGGTAAATAAAAGAATATGAACAAAAAGCAGAAATCACAGAGAGAGTGGCCTTGTCCTTTCCATACATTTTGCCCCGCAGCTTTCAGAAAGTGAAAATTTAGTGAAATAAAAACAGAAGTAAAATTATTCTTCCCTCTTGTAACTAAAATTCAACAACTGACCTTAAATATACACTAACTACTTTGCAGCAATAAATCATAGCCACCCCTTGTTAAAGGAGGTAAGTTATCCCTCTACCTGTTTCTGGGAGTCCCCCTTAGCCCTCAGTGAATTCTTTCTTGCCTCTAGATTATTTACTCCCCTCTACCAATTGCCTTCACCCTCAAACGCCTGCTTGCAAAAGCTTCAGCCCCAATGATCTGGACTCCAAGAGAAGCATCTGTCTGTACACTTAAATAAATGAAATATTTCTGACCCATTTCTAAGGGCCACAGTTAATTTTCAGAAAAAAATTATTTTTAAAAAGCCAACATGGTAAAGTTGAAATCATCTCCAAAAGGCTGAACCCATGCCAAGTAGTTGTCCTCATCCCCTATCCTAGAAGCAGAGTTTGGGCTAAAATCAATCCTATCTCCTAGAGAACAGGCTAGGAATCAGCCAATGGATGCTTGCATGGCAGGGTTCATACTGATTTACATTCAGTGTGACACCAAAGTTCACACTGATTTACATTCCATCACTTCTCTGCAGCATTCTACTCAACCCAACACTGGTCTCTAATTCCACTCGGATTTTCCTGTCATCCTCCTGCACCATCATCATTCTGACCCTCGGTGGGAAACGAGGATTGGCAGAAGTAAGGACTGAAGGCATAAAGGGACAAGGAAGAGCTCAGAGGACAGAATTAGCACCATTTAGTAAAACCTGCAAATTCATGGCTGCCAAGCAGTGATTCAGACCCCTTCCACTTGATAATGTGGCCCTCCAGTTGTGGCCTGAAACTGACAGAAACAGAAAGCAATTTAGGGCCAAAAGGTGGGATCGGTATTGAGTTTCTTAGAGAGAAAGATACATTGGAGTTTGAAACCTTTCTCTGTAGCTATCATGGTCTCATCTTCAAACCTGATGATTTTAAGTTAGCAAAGGGTGGGCATGGTCCATGGTGTAGGGACAGGGGACTGGGGATAGTATATAACCAATAATAATAATAATAATAATATAAGAATAATAATAAAAGAATTAGGAAAAAACAGGAAGGAAAAGAGACGAGGCAGGAAAGAGGGGGTTATCTTCGGCAGCATCTTGCGGTGGCTTCTCTGACAGAGAAAGAACAAAAAGAGGATATATATCTATATACAGGCAGCAGGGCGGGACGGGCTGGGGCTGCTCTTTCCCCACTGCCAGATTTCACCACTTGGGCCTGGGCTGAGGTCCACACTCTGTGATGCACTAAGTGATCAAGTCCCAGTCGAAGTCATCAGGGATCTCCTCGTTGGCACCAGGAGGTGGGACCGGTGGCCGAGGGACCATATGGTGTGCTGTCAGGAAGAGAGAAAGAGAGTAAAAGGAGAGTGGATGGAAACTACTTTGTCAGTCTAGCCCCAGATAACACCCTGAAGAAAGCCTTGTGGCTTTCCTCATCAGCTGGAGTTATACTTGAGTGAAGTCTCAGGAAATAAACTAGAGTAAACTACGTTACATGGCAATGAAATATTATGATGCCATTAAAAATTATATTTATGAAGCTATGTGGTAGTGATAAAAATAACATACAACATATAATATTACATGAAATAACAGTATAGAAAGTTTTATTCATATTACATTGACAAGGAATACAAAGAATCAGATGTCACCCCCAAAATTGAAGACACTTGTGGTCAGGTAGCATGATAACAGTGATTTTTCTAAAATATATTTGCATGTGAAGGATTGGTTCACTTTGTACTATCTATGGCAATTCAGTGTCTCCCACACCGCTGCCCCTCCCATCAGGGATGGTTCAACCCTGGAATCCTGATACAGTGGTCAGGTGACAGGAAAGCGGACATGGGCACAAAGCAGGTACGTTTGTATAACAAATTCATTTTATTTACCTGAGTATATCTTCCATCTAGAGTCCACATATCTATCTTTTGCTTATATTTATGTTCTTATTTACTTTCAGTATGGCAGTTCCTAGCTAATTTTAAAGTAAATCTGTCTTCTTTAGTCTCCCCTGACAGACACCTCCCCAGCAGGTAGTCCACCCTCCAGCATGGGGAATGATGAAGGCTCACCCCCTCCTGGCAAATGCAGGCAAAGGCACAGAGAAAGCAGGCTGAGAGTCAGAGGAAAGTGACACAACTCATTCGGTTTGAGTGGTGGTAAAAAAAAGCTTCCTGGCTCTTACCTGGGCGATTGTATCCTGCTGAGTCCTGGGTGGGGATTGGGTACATTGGTGAGGGGCCAGGATAGAGGTGGGAAGCTTGTGGGTGCCCATAAGAGTTCACTGCCAAAGACAGACAAGAGTTACTTGAGTGGAGGCTCACTATACTCAACAAGGTAGGGAGGAAAAAAATGGGCCCATACCCATCAATTTCTATCTCCCCTCCCTGCCCTGTTCTGTAGCTCCTGCAGGCATGAAGGCTTTCTGCAGAAACTATCAGTCCTCACCACTTAGGACAAAAAGGATGGATACTAGAATTGTGAAATATCAAAGATATAAGGCTGAGAAATATAGAAATAAGATCATCAAATCTCTTTCATTTCACTCTTTTGAAGATCATATAAATATAGAATCACCATTCTACCTGATATGATCCAGGCAGGAGTTACTGAGACACAAGTCTAAAACGGTGACTTTCACTAACAAATGTCCTCCCTTTTCTCAATTAATTCTGATCTCCTAAACTGAGGTCTAAAAAGAAACCATATACTTTATTTCTTTTGCACTTTTTAGTACAGGACTTTACTAATTCAACACATGTTCAGTCAACTATTTTGTCAACTGGTAAACTAGTCCCACTGCTCCGTTTGCACCATTGCCCATAAAATGATTACTCTTTCGCCTTCTTCCTACCCTTCCTTTTCATCACAGTCTCCACCTCCACGGCCACTTGCCTTGTGCAGTACCTTGGTTCATGGCTGGCTCCTGTTTGCCACTGGTGAGAGCACAGGAGTCAGCGATACGGGCTGGGGCTGGTGGCCGGTGCGGTCCCCCTTGCGGGGGCACGTGACCAGTCTGAGTGAGGAAGTGGTTGAGGGAGTCACACAGATTGGCAATGTGATGCTGATCGAGGGTCCAGTTCTTCTGCTCTGCCTGTCGTAGACTCTCCATCAGTTCTACAAATAGGGAAGCAAGCAGTGCTACCTTGCAAAGGCACCAAAGCCCCTCCAGACACACCCCTATTTCACTGTTCCAGTCACATCATAAGTCAACGCCACTCATAATATATGCATTAACAATCATTTGTATCAATCATTTATATATTTATATATATAATCATTTATATCTTTTAGAGCTCCACATTTTCAAACTCTCATTCTATTTGTTCCTTACCAAATTCTTATTATAATTTCCATCTTACTGATGAATAAAGCAAACTTTCAAAGTGACTGAATGGATCGGCCATGGTCACGCTGTCAGTAAATGGTGACAAAACTACAAAATAGCAGCCCAGGGTTTCTGAATTCCCAAGAGCCTTCTCTCTCCCAAAGACAGAACTGACTAGGATGAACCGCTGCCGTATTTTGAGATAAGACAAAATTAATTTGAAAATAATATCAGTATTATCCATCTCATGTAATATGGAGGGGAAACAATGAAGTTCTCAATCTCTAAACTTCACTTAACCACCCTCTTAAAGCGGTTTTAGTTTCTACTGGCTTTCTCCACTTACAGTGCTTCCCTCCAGACATCATCCTTTGATCACTACTAACCCGAGAACTGTGACTGCTCAATGCTGGACCAATTGAGCCGATTCACCATCTTGAAGCTTTCCTTCAAGGAGTCAATATTAGAGCACCAGTCAGGAGGAAAGGCTATAAAAAGGAGGGGAAAGTAGATAATAAGACAGAGTGAAGTGTGAGGCAGCAGTCAACTGAAACCAGACTGACTACATGTAAGATCCTTGCATCTACACTTGGACACTCCCTCCCTGTAGGTTTAGGACTAGTAAAGCTACCTATGCTTTAGGTACATCCCAGCTCATAGGCAGGAGAATATGTAAAACAATCTCAATTCATCCAAGAATTCTATGACATAGAGCTCTAAGTAGCAACTTCCATTTGCTCAGAGGAGATCTCACGGAGAAGCAAGGCTATAAGACCCACTACTGACTTTCTAACCAACTGCACCTCCATGCCAGAGTCAGGACAAGGGGGTCATTCCACCCTCTCCTAGGATCTCCTTGCACCCTCCTTACTCACCAAAGCCAGTGCTGTTGATGGGAGCCTGGCCCTGCGCCTGTGGCTGTGGAGGTGGTGGCTGCTGGGCAGGGTGGGGGTGGGGGTGGTGCTGATGAGGGTGGTAGCCTCCATGCTGCAGTGGGGGCGGATGCATGGCCATCACAGGGGGAGGCCCGTAGCCTTCAGCCCCAGCTTGCTTTCCCCCTGGTGGGGTGCAACCATCTGGGCTTGGGGTGTGCAGTGGAGGAGCAGCCCCTACAGCTGAGGGGCCCTGGGCTGGCGCCGGCTGCTGCTGTGGCTGGGATTGCTGGGGAGGTGGTTGTGGCGGTGGCTGCTGCTGCTGCTGCTGCTGCTGCTGAGGCGGCGGCTGCTGCTGCTGGTACATGTAGTAGTTGTTAGAGGGTGGCATGTCCCCGAGGAGAGACGAAAAGCCTGCAGGTGGGGAGTAAGCAGGTAAGTAACTTAGGCAATGCATTTTTCATGAAATGGGAGGTTCACTGGGTTGAGATGGGGAACCTCAGACAGAAACCGAGGCGTTAAAAGGATAAGGGGTGTTTGGGGACAGCAAGGATCCCTGCAGCCCTCCTCGCAGATATAAAAGACAGGAAAGCAATTAGGTTAGGGGAGGGCCTTGATAGTGTGGTGACTGCGTAAAGCTTAATAAAAAAGTCAGCATGCACCTTCTTTTTTTTTGAGACAGAGTCTCACTCTGTTGCCCGGGCTAGAGTGCCGTGGCGTCAGCCTAGCTCACAGCAACCTCAAACTCCTGGGCTCAAGTGATCCTCCTGCCTCAGCCTCCGAGTAGCTGGACTACAAGGATTCGCCACCATGCCTGGCTAATTTTTTCTATATATTTTTATTTGTCCAGCTAATTTCTATTTTTTAGTAGAGACGGGTCTGGCTCTTGCTCAGGCTGGTTTTGAACACCTGACCTCGAGCTATCCGCCTGCCTCGGCCTCCCAGAGTGCTAGGATTACAGGCATGAGCCACTGTGCCTGGCCAGCATGTACCTTTTTAATACTACTTTTCAGGGATTTTGGTGTAGCCTGGGATCACAATTTCAAAGGAAATCAGACAGCAGGTAGTTTAAAAAGTAAATCAGAAATAAAATTTTTAAAAAAGCCATTGGGCATCTATTGTCTCTTTCTCTTTCTTACTGTCTCTACATTCCACTACTGCTACCTCCTTCTTGTATTCCCTACCAGAAGTGGAGCTTGAGTGAGGAGCAAAATAGAGGTGGATTAATTTCTCAAGCAGACTGGCCAGGGAGGAACAAGAGTCTGAAGCTAGTGGCTTTTGGTCACAATTAAACTTGACAATTAAACACTTAGCTGTCTTCACTCAATCTCACTTGGCTGTCCTCACTCAATCTGATTTTTTACTTTATTTCTGATAGTCTCTCTGTGTTCCCACCTCCAATCAACCAACCTCCGAAGTTGGATTAATTTCTCAAGCAAATGCTATATTCTTGGGACACAACTCTAGATATTGACTCCCTGGGATTCAAAAGAAGAAATTCATGACAAACGGCCAGACGCGGAGGCTCACGCCTGTAATCCTAGCACTCTGGGAGGCCGAGGCAGGCGGATTGCTCGAGGTCAGGAGTTCAAAACCAGCCTGAGCAAGAGCGAGACCCGTCTCTACTATAAATAGAAAGAAATTAATTGGCCAACTAATATATATAGAAAAATTAGCCTGGCATGGTGGCGCATGCCTGTAGTCCCAGCTACTCGGGAGGCTGAGGCAGGAGGATTGCTTGAGCCCAGAAGTTTGAGGTTGCTGTGAGCTAGGCTGATGCCACGGCACTCACTCTAGCCTGGGCAACAAAGCAAGACTGTCTCAAAAAAAAAAAAAGAAAGAAAGAAAGAAATTCATGACAATTAATATAAATAATCAATATTAATGTAAATTTTACATTAATTATATTAATATAAATTGCCCAAAGTGACTTCTAACCACTTTTTATCATTCCGTTCAGCCCCTACTGCCGACACTGCACAGGAGAAAGTCCAATGCCTCACCTGAAGTCTTAGCCTCATCACTGTCTCTAATTTTTTTAAAAAACAAACAAATAAACAAAAAACAAGAATTGCAGAGGGCTGAACCACATGATCTCTCAAGGGGCTTCCTAATAAAAACTTTAAGTCATTCTCACATGATAATTAGGGAAATTTGCATAAGGACAACATATCAGCTGATATTGGCTGGGTGGGGTGACTCAGGGCCTATAATTCTAGCACTCTGGGAGGCTGAGGGGGGAGGATCACTTCAGCTTGAGCTCAGGAATTCCAGACCAGCCTGAGCAACAGCAAGACCCTGTCTCTACTAAAAATAGAAAAATTAGCCGGCCATGGCGCATGCCCATAGTCTCAGCTACTTGGGAGGCTGAGGCAGGAGGATGACTTGAGCGCAGGAGTTTGAGGTTGGGGTGAGCTATGACGATGTCACGGCACTTTATGCGGGACAACACAGTGAGATTCTATCTCAAAAAATAAATAAATAAATAATATTAGCTGATATTAAGTAAGTATTATTGTGTTAGGAGTGATAATGGCATGATAGATAACTAAAAGAAAAGTCTGGCCAGGCTAGTGGCTCATGCCTGTAATCCTAGCATTTTGGGAGGCTGAAACAGAAGGATTGCTTGAGACCAGCCTGGGTGAGACCCTACAACATAGCGAGACCCTTTCTCTACAGAAATTTTAAAAAATTAGCGGGGTGTGGTGGTGCATGTCTATAGTCTCAGCTACTTGGGAGGCTGAGGCAGGAGGACTTCTGTGAACATAAGAGTTAGAGGTTACAGCGAATTATGATCTTGTGACTGTATTCCTGCCTAGATGACAGAATTAAGACCCTATCTCTAAAAAAGAAAATTCTTCACCATTTAGAAACGCATACTGAAATTGTATTTATGTGTGGAATGACACGATGCCTGTGAATTGCATTAAATTATTTCAATTCTTAAAAGGCTGGGTGGTAACTGAAACAACCTTAACAAAATATTGGTAACTGTTAAAGTTGGGTGATGGGACAAGGGAGTTTATTATACTGTTCTCTCTACTTTTGCATCTGTTGGAAATTTTTCATAATATAAAGTAACGTAAATATAAATACACTAAAAAACTCTTCTCACAATGTAACAGAGGGATTCTTGTGGAAAGGGTACTACTGCTGCCCCCTAGGGCTCATTCCCTAAATGACTTGCTTGCAGCCATAAAATCACTGCCCTTCGTTCTAGAAGGGGCACTCCTCCAACTCACTTTCTGAAGCTAACAACCCCGCCCACATCCTGAAACAGCTGGCCTTTCACAAGGGTAGATGAGCTTACTCAACTCCACATAGTTTTAGTTCATGAAATATTTCCTCTGAACAGTGATCAATTTCTCCTTGTGTTAAAAATAAGAAATAACGGGCCAGGCACTGTGTCTCACACCTGTAATTCTAGTACTATGGGAGGTCAAGGTAAGAGAACTGCTTGAGCTCAGGAGTTCGAGACCAGCCTGAGCAAGTGCGAGACCCTGTCTCTACTAAAAATACAAAGAAATTAATTGGCCAACTAAAAATATATAGAAAAAATTACTCGGGCATGGTGGCGCATGCCCAGCTACTCATGCCCATGCCCTCCTCCTGAGGCAGGAGGATCGCTTGAGCCCAGGAGTTTGAGGTTGCTGTGAGCTAGGCTGACGCCACAGCACTCTAGCCTGGGCAACAGAGTGAGACTCTGTCTCAAATAAATAAATAAGGGAGAGAAGAGAAGATCACCAATTGCCCAAAAATATAAGGGTGTCTATACACTCATCCCAACTCCAGACTCACCGTGCTGAGAGGAAGAGGAGGATTTCTCCAGCATGGATTTGTAGAGGTTGCGGAAGGACCAGCTTAGATCCTGAAAATTGATCTCTGAGTAGGAGAATTTGAAGTCATGGTTGGTGTTATAGAGGGGAGGGGGACCCTCAGCACTTTCTCGGCCTGAAGCCCCTGCTGCCACTGCTCCGCCATCCACAGGTCCGGTGCCCTGCAAAAACGGAAGAAAGTCCTGAACCATGTCCCAGCTGAGGGGCCGAAACGACCCTTCAGTGGTCACCATGCTCTCCTGCCCGTCCTCTTAATTCTCTCCTAACTCTTCAATGGGCCAACATCATTTTCTCCTTCTTTTCTCATTGGTTCTTGTCTTGAATCTAGCCTCTTTGTCTCATCATTCTCATTTCTTTAAATGTCCTTTTCTCATGTTACATCCGTGTTCTTATTTCCCTTCTCATTGGAGTTTCCCTTCTTCTCTTCTCACCACTGTTTTTCCTGATCTTCCTCAAAGTTCAGCCATGCCTTTCTCTCTCTCTTTCCATCTCCCTCTCTTGGTTTCCCTCTTTTGCTTCCCCTTCTTTCCCAATTTATCTGCCTAATAAGTCACAGTTACGCAACACATAATCCTGAACAGGAGATATCTGAATCTATCCCGCCATCCATCCCCTGCCCCTGCAACTCTGCTCCCTATACCTGGCTGTAGCCAGCGATGGATGTGGGGCTCTGAAGGGACATCTGCGGATTCCCCTCGGGAGGCAGTGAGGCTTCTCCACTCCCTGGAACGCCTCCCCGCGGGCTCTTGCTTGCCTCCTGCTCTGGTGAGTCTTGGGATAGCTGAGGGTTGTAAGGGGAAAGGAATGTATAAGCAGAGGCAAAACACTGTCCTGAGCCCCATGGTCTCTGCTGGCATTCCACCTTTGCCTTGGAAAGGATGGAACATGCAGAAAGGAGAGGGAGGGAGCAGCTGGCTCAGAAGTGGCATCTCCCTGGGAGGCAGGAACTCACTTCATCATCCGGAGGGTGTCTTCTCTTTCGGGAAATGTCAGGGCAGGTGTCGATTGTCCAATAGGAACCCTAGAAGGAGAACCCAGCCCCACAGAAAACAAAATTGTTATATCTAGAACTTCCCACCTTCAGAAACCAGCTATTTGGGAAGATTTTCACATAATATAACAGTCATGTTAAAAAAAAAAAAAACATGACTGGACATTCACACAGAACCCTGAAGTTTCTAGGTATTACTGAGGAGCAAATTTGTCCCAAAAGCTCGCTGAGCCTGCCAAATGCAGGCCTCGGTTGTTCTGGAGGGGTGGAACAATGGCATCCAGATCAAAGAGGTACAAATGCCCAGACACAGCCTTTCCCTTCCCTTGTTACCTAAAGCAAAACTCCCTTGAACTTTAGCATGTACTTGTGTCAAATGGAGAGAATGATCCATCCCTTCCCCCTTATGAAGAGAAAAACCAGGGATTTTTGTACAGAAATGTTCCTATAAGGGTTAATAAATCTACCTTTTACAACAAGGAAAAAAGAGTACCACAAAGAACAAAGGGAGTATCAAAGTCAACTTTATCCTAAATATTTCTATTAAAAAAAAAGGAAAGACAACAATTTTTCTTAGTCACCCACTCTAGTGAGGGCCCACAAGCTTGACAACCAAGACCTTCCTCTGAGAAAAAATAAGGATGCTTCTCTAATTAACATGATTTCCTCTTCTGGGTAATTAAAACAGCCACTGGACTCTGGGCTGTCAACTACTTTACTCTCCTTCCTGCTCCTCCCTTTATGCCTACAGTAGTATCTCACCTTTCCAGGGTCATCCCGAGGTCTGGGCACCTTCCGGAAACACTTGTTGAGAGAAAGGTTGTGCCGAATTGAATTCTGGGGACACACAGAGAAGCAAGTTAGATGTGAGCATAGTGCAGGGCACAAACTTTCAGATATGACACAGACAAATGTAAAAGAACATAAAACACAATAAAGTTCAAGTATCAGAGTAAATTTAGCACCTAACTATATGCTGAGAGAGACTATGCATCAAATAGCAAGAGCAATGAGATAAAGAAAAATGCAGAAATGACAGAGTTGGGAGGCAGAGGCTATAAATTTGATTATCAGGTGCTTCTGAAAAGCTGATTATTTCAACCTTCCCAACCAAGTGACAACAGGTATATACTATTAACTGCCTCAAAATCACATCTGCTGGCCGGGCGTGGTGGCTCACGCCTGTAATCCTAACACTCTGGGAGGCCGAGGTGGGAAGATGGCTCAAGGTCAGGAATTTGAAACCAGCCTGAGCAAGAGCGAGACCCCGTCTCTAGTAAATATAGAAAGAAATTAATTGGCCAACTAGAAATACATATAGAAAAAATTAGCCGGGCATGATGGTGCATGCCTATGGTGCAGCCTACTCAGGAGGCTGAGGCAGGAGGATTGCTTGAGCCCAGGAGTTTGAGGTTGCTGTGAGCTAGGCTGACGCCACGGCACTCTAGCCCAGGCAATGGAATGGGACTCTGTCTCAAAAATAAATAAATAAATAAATCACATCTGCCCAGTTCCTCAATCCACCCTATCAATAGCAAAAGAACAATAGTTTTTAAACTGCTTATATAAATAACAAAATATAAATTCTGAGTAAAACAAAAGCATGGATTACCTTCACTTTTTTCGATAGCCCATAGAATGGTGACATTTGGAGGAAAGACATGTTGTGTTTGGTGTTGGGTGGGGTTGGTTGCAAAGGAAAAGCTGAATGTTTTCAATCGTCTCCAGCTTATATATGGTTTGTATGTCAACCAGTGATTTTATAGAGTGAGAAAACTACATTAAATCTCCATTCCTACTCAACAATTGGCAAATGAGTTGCTGCTCTAAAAACTTGACAATATCAGCCTTGGTAGAGGAGCCCCTTCTTCCTTCCTCTCCAGCCAAACAATTTAATCTCTCATTACTTGCTTGGTGGACCAGCTGATGGTAAAAGACCTAATTATATATATATTTTCCCAATGACTATGTGCAGTGAAGCTATGGAAATCTGATGGGATTCCTATTTCTGGGTAGGAACAATGCCAAGCCTTGATGTATAGTGACTTGAACATAGTAGAGTGGCAATAAATATTTGTGAAATGAATGAATATCCTTTTTGAGGAATCAGAAGATAAGAGGGTATGATGAACAACAGCATCCTGCCATCCTGATGACTATACTTAATGGCTTGGCATCCCTGGAGTTTCCCTAATATACTTATAAAAGTTGTTCAACACTAAAAAAAAGTAGGGGGTAAAAGATAAGAGATTTTAAGTTTATACATCTCTAAGATAAGCCAGAGTGAACTAGACAGGTTATCGGAAGAAACAAAAGTAGAGAAAAAGTTGTCAAAGGCTAAAAAATAAGCCCAGATTAGAGAAGCAGTCCCACCTTCCAACCAATGCCGGCATTCTTATAATAGGGGAAATTATCGCAGATCCAGCGGTAAATCTCACTGAGGGTCATCTTCTTGGCAGGAGAGGAGTTGATGGCATAGGTGATGAGGGTGGCATAGCTGTACCGTGGTTTGCCATCCTGGTGGACTGCTGCCTCATCTTTGCTCAGGGTGGCATTAGGATCTGTGGGTGAGCCTGGTGAACACTTGCGGCTGCTCCCGGGAGGCCCAGCCTGGGCGGCACTCCCAAGCTTCTCAATGGTAGCTCGGAGGGTCAGCTGGGGGAGCCAGTCTATGGAGGTGAGGCTACTCTCTAGGTCCGAAGCCATAGTACTTTTGGGTTCTGCAGAGAAGAGGACAAAGGGGAGAAGTAAAACTGGTGGCAAGTAATACTCAAATCCTAGTGTTTAAGGGAAGTACAGTCTCTTCCCATTATAATTCCCACGGGAGACCCATGGGCTCGTCCTCAACCAGGTGTTCCGAAGACCTCCAAACAGATACATCATCATCTACCATATGACAAACTGCTGCTTATCCTACATCTTAACGTGGAGCATGGCCAAGAGGCCTCTCCCTTCATATAGGACCAAAAGAGAGATCAAACCTCACATCGAATTGAGCTATTTCCTCAATTTACCTTACCATAGCCCTATAGGCAACATAATATTTTTAAACTATGTAAGAATTAAGTTAAAAAAACAAAAAACACTTAGATACCAGGTAAAATTAGCCAAAGTCCATTCTCCAATTACATGATGCTTGCTACATTTACATACAACAACCACAAATAGATAAAACAAATGTACATTAAAGAAAAACAGCACGCATAAACACAAACACACATTAATGAGGCACATACCAACACTTTTAAATATGTTTCATATTAGATATATTATGAGCACTTGCCCTTTTTATCCCACACACATGTGCATGTGAGGCATATTAGATATATCCCAAGCATAAATTACTTATATCAACCAGCAAAGGACAGACACAAGACAGACACATAAACAGTGGGCCACATACACAGAGATCATGATTAGATATAAAGCATACATTACCTGTTGGTAATGCACAGAGTCACACACAGAGGTAATAGATCCTGAGTGCACAGCTGTCCTCACACCTGTAAAGCTATCCCTTGCATGCTCCCGCCCACAGACACCAACACCAGGAAGAAGTCATCAACAAGGACCTCCTACCTCTCAGCCTGCTGGGCTTCACTGAGCCAGGGAGACACCCAGCTGTGTGTGCACCAGTAACAATCAGATAGCCTGGCTAAAAATAGCCACACTGGGGCTAAGAGCTGGCTCCCCTTCTCCACCCTCCTCTTCCCTCCCTCCTTCCCAGCCAGGCACGCAGCTCACTGCACCTCCATGCAAACTCCTGGAGCTGCCAGACCGCCCACGCCTGATGTTTGCACACCCTGCTGCCACCCACACCTCCACACCTCCCGAGCGCTCTTGCTGGCAGAGAGGTAGAGCTGGAGTGACGTCTTGGTGGGGGAAGGTGAAGAATGACGGATGATATCTGTATCACAGGGTCTGGAAAGGCTGGCAGGAACCACTAGGTAGCCATTTGGCACTCCCCTGGCGCTGATGCCAGCAACCCCCTAAGCTCTTGCTGCCTAACAGGTTTATGCCTGTATAGCTGCCAGATTCCAGCTAGCATTTCTCCCTAAGTCCCACCAAGGCATTTCTCTTGAGGAGCCAGGGCTAGATTGCCTCAGAGTTCAGAATCCTGGACAGACACACATTATGTAGGTGATCTCTAAAATCCACAGCCAGATATGTGCGCAAGAATATACATACAATTACACAAAGATCCACACACTGTGCAGTTCAAACTTCAATCCCAGATATGACCAGGTCCGTTTCTCCTAACCCCAGCACATCTTCCAGGCTCTCAACTCACTCTTCTATCCTAGGAAGTGATTCTTCTGCCCTTGACACTTGCCCCTTCCTCCTAAAGGTCAGCATTCCCACTCATTCCCCTCTCCCCTACGGCCCCACCCATGCAATCTGCGTGTACACACAGGTACCCAGCCCTGTGCTCCTACCAGCAACACACCCAGTCCACAAGGCTGAAGGAAGTGCCTAAGGGGCCTGGGCAGCGAGGGACCCAACTGCAACCCAAGAATTGTTAGGAGAAAAAAAGGCGGGGGAGACATGTTTATAAATAGCATCAGGCAATGAAGAGTTTCCCCTTTATCCTTAGCTCCTCTCCCCACCATCCTCCTTTTCATCCTACTACCACCTTGCCTTAAACCATGGAAACTTGGAAACTAATAGGAACACTTAATCATTCCAGGAGCCTCACACCTTCCAGCACTACTACGTCAAAACACCCCAGCCTCGGCTATAGCAGGGTGCTCCTGGCATGATCACAGTTCTGAGGCTGGGTCCTCCCAGCAGAACAGTAGCATGCCAATGGGCAGTTTTTCTCCTGGGTCCTCCCCAGATGGGAGATCTGTAAAGTTTTACCCTATTCCCTATTATCTCCTGCTAAAGATCCCTAGGAAATTTTATCTTAAGAGCACAGAGGCCTTTCAGTTGATTTTTCATTTGAAACAAATCTTCCAACACTGAATGGGGCATGAGAGTAGATTTAAAGTGTGTAGAGGGCTTACAGAACCCCCTTGGCACATGCCAATCACAGTGAATTCCTGAAAGGGAAGCACTCTCGGCCTTTTGCTAGTTGTTCTATGCCCTTCCCTACCCTTACTTACCCCAGCACCAGGTTAGGACACTGAGGTTAAATTTAACCTTTCCTCAGCACCCTCCCAGTCGGCCCTCCCGATACAGCCTCAGCACCCAAAATTATTCCAATCTTACCAGCTACAAGAAGCCTGCAGCCTCTGATCCTTCGGATCTCTCTGCACCATTCTCCTTCAACCTATCCCACTTCCTCACCCCCTTCACTTCCCCATTCACGAAGGGAAGCCCAGTGTGTAGAACCTCAGAGACTGAGGTTCCTTGGTTCTATTCACAACCTGAAACTGAGTGTCCCTAACCATCCTTTGCTCCCTGATGAAGTCTGATGCCTCAGTTTCCCCCTTCAATAAAAGAGATGAAGTCATACACTCTGCCAGAGCTTCATTCCTGGAGGGAAGTGAATGAAGCTTAATGAGCTCTTGGCTGCCTCACATTCCACGCTCCCCAAAATAATGGCATGAGGCTAATGTTCAGGGCCATTATTAGAAAGGCAAACAAGAGGTACTTCCATTTCTCAGTCCAACCAACCTAGTTACCCAGACCTCACTCTCCAGGTGGGCCTTGTGCCACCAGGATTGGGCAGAACCTGAGTCAGGCCACATTCTTCTCTGTGTGCTGGAAGACTAAAAGGAAATACCCAGAGAAACCAGGAAAGGCAGCCAAAGGGCAGGCTCCATCACATCCATGGATGTCTAATGAAGACTACAGTACTGTGAGAAAGGCAGAGAAAATCAAACAGAAAGACCTTCTGAGGGAGGAAAAGACCGAGCCCAGATGAAATCATGAGATCCAAAACACTGGGCACAGTTTTCTACCCATTTTATCCGAAAGGCGAGTAATTGTTCTCTGTATAGGGCCAACATCAGGTATTGAGGAGTGACAGCTTCCTGCCCTGTACAGAATGTGAAAGCTAAGAGGATAGTGGCTAAGTTCACCACATGAGGAGTCAGGCTTTCTGGGTTTCAATCTCAGCTCTACTATCTACTGGCTGTGCAACCTCAGACAGGAGGTACTTGACCTCTCTGTTCCTTGGTTTCCTCATCTGCAAAACAGAGACAATAAATGTAACTACAAAGGGTTGCTGTGAGGATTACCTCAAGTTAATATTTTTAAAGCACTGTGTAAGTGCCATATAAGTATAGCTATTATTATTTTTGAAAGGGGAAAATAGAGAGTACTAGAAATTTAAAATTAGAAAACTGACAGACCATAGAGGTAAGAGTGGAAGGCAAAAACCTGCAATGGTTTGGGTTGCAAAGCCTGCACTGAGTCTGCAATGGTTTTCAGGAGGTCAGAATCTCAAACTTTTCCTTTGGAGATAGCATCGCTCCAGTGCCAATGCTAGCATCAGGAGAACTCCAAGGATGAGGGAATGGGGGAATATTATCTCTTATCTTTCAGCAGGAACTAGGTGTAGTCATAAGACATGATATGGAAAATAGCACTCTCTAAATCACAGATAAGCCAACCCAATAGCCACCTGCTTCTAACTGATTCCATAAAGGCAAAGAGCATTAGGGGAGCTCAGTCCAAGCAGGGCCAATTAAGCACTGTGGCAGTGGTATACCTGGAGCTGTCGTGATATGGTTCACTCTGAGCCACTCAAGAAGGGGCACTCCAGCATATGGCAAAGTGCTTTGTAAGAAACGGGCTGCTGTTACACCAGAGCAGTCTCTTTTTTAAAAGGCAGAAGAGGGAGTTCTGGAGTTAGGAGTCAAGAATCCTCATCCTTTTGAGACTATAGGTATCAGAAATGAAGCTTTCTTATTAGATCTAGAAGTGGTCCCAATCAGAGACTAGGCTGCCCTGCTGCTAGAGATGACTATCACACACACAGTTATAAAGGCTCCCACTGGCCAGCAGGAAGCCAGCCAATCCTTTCCTCTCAGATGGGCATCCTAACCGCCACCTTCTCCAGGTCCTTACACAGGGGCACCTGCTTCTAGAGGCCTACCAAAAACATACAATTCTAGGTAACTGGAGTATGGTCTGGAAAGCACACATGTACCTGTTTCCACAGACATGCCCACACAAAACACAGAGAGAGCCACATTCACCTGAATTAAGGAACATAAACACACTTTTCCTCCCTATGTCATAGACCACCACGAACAGGTAGCTTCCAAGATCACGTGGACGTACTTAGGAACTTAGGCAGCCCACCCATGGCCCTTAAAGAGAGAGGAGAAAACAGGAAAGCCCAGATGGGATGAAGCCTTCCACTTGGCCTTGCTGTGATACAGAAGAGACGGTATCTCCTAATGGCCAGGTAGGAGAGCACCCAGCCAGTGACCTTAGGTGGAAAGGCAAAGCTCTATAAGAACACAGTCCAGGCTTTGCTAGGAGGATTTCCTGGCACCTTTTTCCTGCTTTTTCTGAAGATTCTGGACTTTGATGATTCCCTATCTTATAAAAGAAAACTTTAATGCAAGATTTCAAAGACCCAGAACTGAACAAGAAACAGGAAGGGAGAAGATGAGACTATTAGGTGCTTTTCTAGATGGAAACTCTCATATACTCCTCAGAGGTCAAATCTCTCCAGTGGTCAACTTATTTAGATGGAAGACTGGAAGGAAGCTGAGCAGCAACCCTCCTATCTTCCTAGCCAAGATCTAATTTTTCTTGAGGAACTGTCAGCAAAGGACAGGAGTCTTACAGGAGACTAGGGCAGTGGTACACAGTCAGCACTAAGGAAGAACTTCAACCCAGGAACTGGCATTCCCCTGTATACGTTCTTCTTGCCTTCAGGACGTGTGGGATTCCCATTTTCCCTATAAGTAGAGGCACACATCCAGCTAGGAACAGGACTGTCAGGAGAGGAGGCCTCTTGGTATCTGAAATAGGATGAGTGGAGACAGGCTGCTTTTCTTGTCAAGGGAGCAGTAATCACAGTGAGCTGAAGAGAACACCTCTGGCAGACACTAAACTGACCTCGGCATGCCCTACACAAGGCCAGGACACAAGGTGCTACCTTGACTTTGGGAGGGCCCACTTTCCAGTGAGAATGGCCAAGGATGGATGGTGATCTGGGAGTCTGGCTGGGTTGCGTCAATCATTACTACACAGTAGGCATGGAGTTCTGAAAATGCAGCCACTTTCTCATATCCTTTTGTCCTAAGCATGGAAACATCCACTTCCCGAGGGACCTCAAATGAATCCCATCCCTGGTGGTCCCCAAATACTAAGAAACACATTTCTTACAGCCTCTGCAGCAGGATGTGGGTTGGAGTCCAAGAGCTTCCTCAGAACACATTTCCCAGAGGATTCTGAGTTATCACTCTACCCTGCCCAGCAGTGAAACCCAAGATCCACCATCTCAGTGCCTATACCCACTAGTGCTTAGAGATGGCAGAGAGAAAATGAAAGAAAACACTAACCTGTCTCCACCGCTCCCCCTGCAGAGGGAGGGAGCCACCTGGTACTGGAGTTTGGGGTTGGAGGGATTCCCCTCTTCAGAGGCTGATGACAGGTCTCATCCTCAGTGGCTCTTCCTGTGCCTGGCTGAGCCTCCCAAGCTGGGGAGGGGAACTGGGTCCCCTGAGGATGAGGAGCTGAGGGAGGAGGAGGAGGGGGAGGAGAAGGAGGTCCTACCTGGGGAAGGTGGCACACCCCCCACACCCTGCCAGTTACCCTGGGGAGGAGGGGAGGAGCCTCTCCCAACCAGGAGTTGTCTCCTCCCCCTTGGGGGAGTCCCCCTCCCCCCCAAACTGGATCTGTGTGGGGTGGAGGGCGCTTTCTGTCTGCTGGAGCTCTGGGTGGAGGGGCTCTACCCCGTTCCACTGTCTAGGTCCAAGGAAGTTGAGGGGAGAGGTCTTCCCCTCTCCAAAAGGCTGCAAGCCGATTCCTCTTCTTTCCCTGGCGTGTCCTTTGCTTCTGAACGTAAGGACCCCTCTGCCCGTGAGTACTGGCTGGAATGGAGTGCGCCTACTGCACAGGCATAGCCCCCTTTCCCTTTGCCTCCAAAGTCCTGAACTGCTGAGAGTGTGTGTCTGCAGAGGAGAAGGCGCGCAGGGTGGTCTCACTCTGATTCCTGTAGGAAGGCTCACCCCTTCCTACTTCTGGGGGTCTCCTCCCGGGCAGTATGGGGTTTTCCTCTCCTCTGGGAAGGAGAGACGCGTCCCCTCCAGGGGTCTCTTCTTTCCCTCGCCGGAGTGGCAGGGAGTGGTAAGGGGCTTCTCTCCAACGAGGGGAGAGGCTGCTCCCGTCCCCGCTCCCGCCTCCGCTCCTGGGGTGCCCCCGAGGGTGGGGTTTTCGCACTCCCCGCTCTCCCGAGCTGGCCTGGGCAGCAGGGTCCGGGAGGCCGCGGCTCCGACTCCCGTCACTGGCTCCCGTGGCGGCAGCGCCTCCGCCGGTCCCGAGCCGTCCGGTCGGCTCCCTTCAGCGCGCGGGGCTCCCGCGCTGCCACCTCTCGGGCTCCGGCCAGTCCGGGCTCCCGAGGAGCCAGAAGGCGGACGGACAGTGTCGGGGCTCGGCTCGGGCTCGGGCTCGGCTCGGCTCCGCTGCAGGCCCCGGCTCCTCCCCGGCCTCCGCGCCGCGCTCCGCGCCCCTCCCCCTCCCCGCCGGCCGCCGCCGCCTCCCGGCGCGGGTTAAGGAGGAGCGGGGCCGCCGGGCCGCGGGCCGCTCCGCGCAGAGCCCGGCCGCGCTCGCCGAGAGCGCCGCTGCGCTGCCCGGCGGGACGCGCGCCGCCCCTCGCTCGCCTCCAGCCGCCACCCGGCCGCTGGGCTCCGAGCGGCTGGCTGGGTACCCGAGATGACAGGCCATGCTCTCCTTCCGGACAGTCTCTCGTGCACGTCTTAAACTGTCAATCCAGTTCACACATCGACTCGGGTCCGCAGGCCTGTGTTTCGTCCTATTGCATTCTGTACGCACATGAACGTCTCCAGTTGTCCCGGGAATGTCTTTGGTGGGCTTCTCTTACCCCCAGACAATTTATAAAGGGTCGTGGGGATTGGGACGAAGTTTATGTCACCCTGAGTTATGTTATCTTGGAGTTCAATAAATGCTCCCTGAATAAGTGGATACATAAAGGGATAAATGATTGTGTAACAGAGAAAAAACATCAGAAGATCAGGGTCCTATTCCTTGTTCCAGCTTTGTAAACTTGTGCAAGGCCCTTGTCCTCTGAAGTCTTGGTCAGTAAAGCGGGAACCTTGATACTCGGCCTGCTTACCCAATAAGGCTATGGCAAGGACCAAATGAGATAATAAATTTGTGTGAAAGTGCTTTTCAAACAGTCCAGTATCCAAAGGATACAAAATATGGTTGTTCAATTCACTTGCACAATCCTATAAAATACTTCATCCTGAGTATCACAGAATATAGAATGTTCTCATAGTACATCCTTCTGCCCCTTAGAGAATAATCCTCACCCAGAGATAGAAAATGCCACCAGGGAGCCCATTTCCACTTTTACTCCTGGAGTCTTATTATTCTGCTATAAATTCTTATATATTTCATCCTCTGGCTTATTAAACTTTTCTCAAACTATTCTACTTTCTATCACATAAGATAATATGAAGACAAAAATATTGTTCATAAAATATTTGAATTGCCCCTCAAAATGATTCCATACTCAAGAGTTCAGCTTGATGACTACATTTCACCTTTAAGTCATAAAGTCTTTTGTCTTTGGCAAAATATGTACTACATTTATTTGAATTAGATGAATATATTATAATTGCATTATGTTCATAATGTGCCAGGCATTGGGCTGAGAACTTTACATGTGTTATCACATTTGATTCTCCTAGGGATCCCATAAGACGTTATCATTATGCCTCTTTTATAGATGAGAAAACCATGGCTTAGACATATTGACTATGTCTAATTACGTGAACTATGAGTTCATGTAATTAATAAGTAGCAAAGTCAGTAATTAAATTCAAATCTAAATGACTCCAAAACCTGGCTCTTAATCTCTATATCATTGTCTGGAGCTGTCACAATGAAAAATCATCCTCAAATTTAAAGGCAGTGAATGACATTGGGTGTCTAAAAAAAAGAGAAAATAACAAAAAATAAATTTAAAAAATCGAAAATTAGGCCGAGCTCGGTGACTCACGCTTGTAACCCTAGTATTCTGGGAGGCTGAGGTGGGCGGATCCTTTGAGCTCAGGAGTTCAAGACCAGCCTGAGCAAGAGCAAGACCCTGTCTCTACTGAAAAATGGAAAGAAATTGGCTGGACAACTAAAAATATATAGAAAAACATTAGCTGGGCATGGTAGCACATGCCTGTAGTCCCAGCTACTTGGGAGGCTAAGGCAGAAGGATTGCTTGAGCCCAGGAGTTTGAGGTTGCTGTGAGCTAGGTTGACACCACAGCACTCTAGCCCAGGCAACAGAGTGAGACTCTGTCTCAAAAATTTAAAAAAAAAAAAAAAATTAAAAATTAAAAAATATAAAATAAAAGTAAAATAAAAGAGAGGCAGTAAAGCCAAACCAAGCCTTTTCTTCCTCCCCACACTTCTAATATTCAGATTTAAAGCTGTATTTCCCCCTCATCAAGGCATTAATTAATTCCACACATACACACAAATAATTTGGCAGCAAATCCTTCTTGCCATGTATTGATATTTTGTTTATGTTATATTATGTTTCAACTCTTTTTGACATTTCTTATGTATGGAATTTGGACGGCAGGGTGAGATGTAGAAGTAGTAAAAATGGAAACACTAGGGAAGAATTAGAATCTCCTTTCCTGGAAATTTGGAAAAATTAAAGGCTCAAGAAATTATTTCATTTTCACAAGATAATTGCTGCAGCATTCTTTGTAGCTGGAAAATCAGAAACAACCTAAATATCTAAAGTAGGGTAAATTATCATACATTTATATAATAGAATGCTATATAGCATTTAAAAGAATAGTTGTATTTCACTCTGGAAGGTAGAATCAAAGTGCTGTTTTTTCTTTTATATCTTCTTCATCATTTAGATATTTTGTAATAGATACATATTAGAACATTTTTTTCATTATCTGACTGTATCCAGTGAGAAAATCATGTTTAAAAAGTATGTATTGGCTGGGAGCAGTGGTTCATGCCTATAATCCTAGCACTCTGGAAGGCCAAGGCCGGCAGACTGCTGGAGGTCAGGAGTTCAAAACCAGCCTAAGCAATAGCAAGACCCCATCTCTACTATAAATAGAAAGAAATTAATTGGCCAACTAATACATATAGAAAAAATTACCCAGGCATGGTGGCACATGCCTGTAGTCTGAGCTACTCAGGAGGCTGAGGCAGAAGGATTGCTTGAGCCCAGGAGTTTGAGGTTGCTGTGAGCTAGGCTGACGCCAGGGCACTCACTCTAGCCTGGGCAATAAAGCAAGACTCTATCTCAAAAATAAAATAAAATAAAATAAAAATAAAAAGTATGTATAATACAATCATATAGTTGTTTTTAAAAATATATATGTGCATGTATATATTTTTATGTATGCATACACACATAGATGGATATACATGAAAGATGTGAGTTTATAAATTATTTTAATTTACTTCATTTTCTATTGTACCTATAATTAGTGTTTGTATGGGTTTTGCTTATGTAATTTTTAAAATTAAAAAAAAACTTGGGGGGGAGGAAAAAAGAAAAAACTTGACAAGCCTGATTTGGTTTGGTTTTGCCCTAAAACAAGGGGGAAGCACTTGCATT